AGTTAACGGTCAACTTTGAGAGTTGACTGCCACATCAGACATATTTAACGGAGTTGGACGGAGAGTGACCAAACTTGAACCATTTAACTAATTTGAGTGACCAAGATTGGATTTAAATATTTTCAGTGACCAAACATGAACGTTTTTTGTAATCTCAGTGACCAATCATGCAATTAACCCCTTCTTTAAGATTGCTTCTCCATCAACATCTTCATATCCGCTAACAATATGCCTTCACGAATCACGATCATCTCTGTCATTGAAACATCTATCTCTACCATCAAATAATCTCTTCCTTCTTCTTAACATCACCATGACATTATCTTCATTATATTATTTTGGTGAATGAATAATTAGTATTAAATTTGATGTTATTTATTATTCTCATATATGGATTCATTTAGAAGGGAAGTCGTAAGATTAGTTGTACGGATGTGTGTTTTGTGAGTTCTGGGGACGGCCAAGTCAATGGCCTAGTAGTATAAAATTTTGGGTGGTTTATTATATATATTTATACTTTATTCGTTCATTTAGATTATTAAACAACGAACAAAAGATTTACCTAATCAATTATCTCAAACATTTCTTTGTTCTGCATCTCTAATTAATCCCGTTAATTTTGTTACTCCGTACCCTAATTTTATTGTACATCTCCTTGGATTTCTACCAGTTCTCTTATGGCAACCTAAATTATATAGTCTCAATTATTTATTGTCTCATATTTTATTTATTTCCCTCATTTTGTCTGATTATCCTCTAATTATATCTTTATGTTAATTACTTATGGATACCAATATCATCTCTCTCATCAATTGTTGTCGTAGTCTAGTTAACATAGCACCCAACACCATCATTTACATCATTGCACCCTATATATTGATTGTCTTCAACGAATTAGTGAAATTTATTGGTGCATTATAGCCTCCTAGGCCACGTGGGATTTATTACTACTATTATTATTATCTTTCGTATTAGAATATCATGGTATTATTATGATTATTCGTATTAGTTTACTGTGTCTTGTTGAGGAAGTTATTATTTAGTTGTTGGGTTAAAAATAACTTACCTTATTCGAGAGGGAAAGGGCTTGTGAGAGAGTCCTATAAATATGTACCGTAGTTCTTGGGTTTACGTACATCAATGAATAATAATCTAGTTTAGTAGAATTCGTAGTAGTTTTAGGAGTAGAGGTAATGTAGATAATTGTTCTCTCGTTGCATTGAAGTTATAATTCGTAGTAGTTTTAGGAGTAGAGGTAATGTAAATAATCGTTATCTAGTTGCATTGAAGTTATAATTCGTAGTAGTTTTAGGAGTAGAGGTAATGTAGATAATCGTTCTCTCGTTGCATTGAAGTTATAATGCGCCATTTATTTGAAAGGTTTGGCAGATATCTCAGTGTCAAAGAAGCAGCAAGTATGATCAAGAAGGATGAAGCAACTACTTTTTGGTTGTTGGCAGCGTCAATTGAGAATTTTTCGTTCATATTGGGCAGTTAGAACCTTTATTTTGTCGCATTGAATTAATTGCAGGAGTTAAGATTAAATTGGAAGTATAGGAAGAAGTTATAATAATTCATGTTCATTCTTGATGAAAACAATCTTTTAGAGGGGATGTATTGATGAACTATTATTTATTATTATTACTATCGAGGTAAGAATGTTTTCCAACATTTTCTTTTATATTTTTAGCCATCCAAGTCATATTGCCTCCAAACCCTAATTCTTTATTAGATAAACCAGAATTTTTATAAATTTTATTCAAATTGCTCTCAGTGCTCTTAGTCTCTATATAGTCTGCATTATTCCTTATTCCGTTGTTTATTTCTCTCCTTAATTTTCGGACAATTCTCCTTTAATTGTATCTTTCTACTAATCAAGCTCGGGTGCCAAAATCATCACCCTCATCATACCCATTATACCTCCAACATTAGTAGACTATTTCTTCTTCTCTTGCATTAAAATATTTTCAAAGATGAAATATAATTTAGCGCAATTAAAATTTACCCTTCCTTATCTTCAAACTTGTGTTCCCCTTATAGACTCTGCAATGCTATAACCGGTGAGCTTGATATCGAACTTTAACTCCATTATCTTAGTATGTAGTAGATAAGGAGGTGGATGTCCTCTCATTCTCTCCTTTGCTTGGAATAGTTTCCTAGCAGACACTCCAAAAAATCTATCTTCCATGTGATCAAGAACAATATAGTTAGATTTAGCGATTTTGTCCAAGAAATTGGATCTTGAATTTGTAAAATGAAAACAAATGAGATTCACTGCTTAGTAAAATAATTTATGTTTTAGTTGGTATGGTAGTTTATTTCTCGAATAAATGAATACGAAGTTGAAAATAATGGAAGAGTAGAGATAGGTTATTACCTACGTGTAGTCTTCCTGATATTATTGTACATTTCCCACAAAAGTACTCGTCGTAGTGTTCTTCAAAATTTTGTGATAGGTTGCATATTCAACATTTCTACTACCAATTCTTAACTTTGAAAACTTTATATTGTATGAAAATACACATTGCCCTATATATTAATGAAAGAGTCAATATTTATTAATTAATGACTCATTATATTGAAACTCATGTTTACCTTTTTCCCATTCTGTATTTTCAATTTACTAAGCCCTTACAATATTTTGGTGGAGATTGGCGATCGGGTTTAATTTTTGACTCTCACTGCTACAATTATCATACCCATATGTGACGACTTGTCCTGATCTGTGTTCCATGATAAATTGTCCGACCTAATACGAACAAACGGATATGGATATTGAGAGACTCCAACCATTTATAATGCGGGAGTGATTGATGTAATGTAGGGATAATTCAGAATTGTGGTCGTTGAAATTAAGTGGTGACTTGAATTGTAAAACAAAGAAGAATTGGAGCTTGAAGAATTATTATTTTATTATAACCATTGGAGCATGAATTTTAATAAGCCTTTTATTAATACCTCAAATTACTTTGGTTTCCACCCATGAAGTAGTAGCGAGACAACTGTAAAATAAAACAGCCAAGGCCCAAGGATGAAAAGACATAATAGTCCATCCGTGATGTGCGCAGCGCAGAGCTCAGCAAAAATTGAATTGGGCGAATGCTATGGGAACCTCCTTATATAATTTGTAGGATAGGATAGGATGTTAAAGATGTTTCACATTTATATATATTTTGTTAAACCACTATAAATCTGTTATAGACCGGTGAAACCATACTATTTACTACACGAGCTTAGGTATATTCCCGCCCACATTTGTTTGATTATGGTGTTTACATGACTGTGATAAATGTTGACATCAATGAAACGTTGGGTTATACGTAGGTGACAAAGTGTCAATTTATATTCTGTTTAATAATATGATTTTATCCGTAACATAATCTTTTTAGGCGACAGGGTGATGTTTCATTTTCTTATACGCATAGTCATTTTATTTCATTTTCGTCCCATCAATTCATACGTATGGCACAAATTATCTAAGGCAGCTGCTAAAGTCAAAGGAAAAATTGAAAGGGGATTTGCATTAATCAATTAATTTTCGTTGAATACATTAATCAATTAATTAATCATATCAATTATCGTTTTTATCAATTAATTAATCATATCAATAATCATTTTTAGCCTTATTCGAGATGCTTGACCTTCGTGAAACTGTGACTTCTTTATTTTCTTTGGCATGAAAATGTGACACTTATTTAGCTATATATATATATATATATATATTAATAATTCTATCGTATATTGAGTAAAATAAAAAATATAGTATATATTAATAATTCTATCGTATATTGAGTAAAAAATTACATCTAAACCTTGAATTGGCTTTTCAAAAAAAAAAACTCTTGAATTGACTGAAATTTGGGACATGGTACTGTACCATAATCCTTACATATTAAAATCTGAGTCTTAACTCATACACTAAGATTAATTTGATTAGATACAATAATCGACAGTCACGATTTGTTAAAATATATTCAACAAATTACATGCATCGTTTTGGGGTTTAAGGCCTATATTTTAGATAACTAAGACCTAGGTTTCATTCATCAAGGATTATGGCATAGTATGATGCCCAAAATTCTATCAATTTAAGATCTGAATATCATTTTCTTACTCAAGATATACTATACCTTTAATTTTACTCAATATACGATAAAACCCACTCTATATAAGTTTTTGAAATCTCGTATTTTAACCATAAAAAAAAATCTCGTATTTTTTATTGAATTTCCCTAGAGTCATGTATTATTGGCCTCATATTACCAAATTTATGATAGATAGTCTGAGACATAGAAAAGATTAATCCATTCAAGAAGCTCAAAGAGTTGGGCCAAGATCTTAACCTCTAACCTGAATCTGATACAGGACTCAAATATTTCGTCTGTGTAAAGAGTTCTTATTTCCGTCCTATAACTTAAAATAAATTACGAATGTGTTTACCTCTCCACCGTGCAAATTCTCTCTAGAGATCACAGTGATTTTTTTTTTTTTTTTTGAAAGAATGGTTGGCTGTTCCATTAACTGATGAACTTGTTCTGGTCCATCCATTCGTGCGAATATATGCAACTTAGCTCCTTCCCAGCTACAGCTATGAATGGTTTTGTTTTTGCAAGCCAATAATTTCTCATGGTGATCAAACCCAAAAGAGACAATTTCCATTATTCCAGAAGAAACTGCATTAAATTTTAGTGGGATCAACATGGCGTAGCTTGGAACCACATATACAAAATTCTTCTTTCTTCATTCTAATTGTTGGGTGACCCCGTGATATATAGGTGCAAGATACATAATACGTAGTCACTAAACATAATACTCGTATACATGTAGATTGTAGACTTTAACATATATTGTTTTTTTCCAGCCACCTTGATCTTAATTAATTATCTCATATAACACCACATGCATATTCCAATAAGATGGATGGAGCTAGTACATGGATAAACTGAATCGTATAAGATTCATTTCATTCGTGACGGTAGTACAAAACTATGAAACTTGTGTCATTCGCGTACATATATAAAATCCCAAGACCTACTTGTTGTGTAGAGGGTCGGGGCTAGAAGGGACAACTCGATCGACCGTAGCAACGAAATCACCATCTTCACTATGATAACCGTTGTAGCTTTGATGATCACCAGAACCTGCTGGACCATGAACTTGATGTTCTGCTCCCACAAATCCATGGTGTGAAGAAACCAGCACCAGAATCAGCAAAAAGCATCCAACTTCTTGATGATGGGGATGGTGATGAGCCTTTGATCTTATCATGATGATCCTCTTTGAGAAACGAACTTAAATGGAGGATTAGCTCAACAAGCTCTGCAAAAAATGGGGGTTTGAAGCCTGAGAGAGAGAAAGGAAGGTCTTGACTTTGGAGTGAAATGTGTATTTTGGAGGGAAATGGGGGGATCTTATTTATTTATTGCTTGGTGAGGAGAAGGATTGCTAATTAGTCAAATGGGTTCTTGTTCTTTTGTGTGGACTGTGGGGTTAAGCTGATGACATCAAATTTTGGGTCAATATTCATCCTTGTATATAAAAACAAAGGACGTGATTGAAAACACAAATTAATGGGTCAATATTCATCCTTGTAAATAAAAACAAAAAATCGCCGATACTATTATTGTTTCGTAGAGAATCCGTTAGAGCTAATGTCTTGGCATGGAATGGGAATTGCCAATTGCAATTTTAGTGTATCGAAGATGATAAAATCGTTTAAATGCCACTCCAGCGATTTAACCGTTTAAATGTTCACAGATGCTCACACGCGAGTTTTGAAAACTCGGACACTTCTAAGTTACCACGCCAATGAGTCCAGGCATAACTTAATTTGGCATAATAGTACAACAGTTGAACGCAGTCGTATTCTCGTGCCTAGCAGCTTATTCTTTGAGCGTGGTCGTTATCTAGTCGAATAATTAGGATTTTGTTGAGGACGAAGCAAGTTGAAATGACAAACGATGCGCAAAGAGAAGAACGATACTTTGGGAGTTCTCCCTTACCCTAACGATCGGGGATGACATGCAATGGTTGGTAACCATATACATGGAAGTCGAGGCATGAGGGTCGCTACGCTAGTGTGGGGAATCAGTACAATGGTCATGAATCCCGATTCCTCTCCTAATCACACCCACCTACCCGAGGTCACATAGTTGGATTCCTTAATTAGGGATACAATCTAATGTCTCTAGCTAAACGGATTTAACCCATGGGCAAACCGCTCTAATGAATCAATGGTCGTGTTCATGTAAACATTCAAGAGGCAACAATTAAATGAGCACTCAACATAGGGAGATGATCACCTCTACCTAAGCTAAGTCTCTAGTCAATAAGACATGACGAATTACATGCAAACAACATTTGCGTGAATATAAATCATGAATTAAAGCATTGGGCACACAAATTGAACTTAATAAATCCATAGATTACCAAATGTCATCCATTACATACTACACACCCTAAATAGGAGTTGAGGGACTAAGTTTCAAGTTCCTACCCCATAAAGGGGAAGAAAAATAAGAGAGAGAGAGGGGGAAAGGAAAATCACCAGAAAAGAACTTAAAGCAGCTGCAAATCCTCTTCTTCAAGCTCTCGTCGCCTTATCTTCAAACTCTACTTCTTATCAAAGAGGATCCTTCTCTCTTCTCTCTTTCTAGCTAGGGTTTCAGCTTCTAAAAGTCTCTTTCTCTCAACTCTCTTTCTAGGTTTCCAGCTTCCAAAAGTCTCTTTTTAAGCTCTAGAGGACTCATCTACTTATAGTGAATTGGACTGGGAGTAAGATCGCAACCTACCTCGAGGGAGTTCACATTCGTGATCACTGGAATTGTGGCGTGTTCTTGGAAGGGCCTTGCTTTGAACTGCTTTGGATGATGGTTCACGGGCTCGAGTTCAAAACCGCGAACTGAAATTTGTGGCGTAATCTCACTCATAGCCGTGATCTCCCTTACAGTCTCGGGGATGAAAGACTTCCACTCGCACGACGAAACCTTCTGCTTTTCTTCGTGCATAGCCTTCCGAAGCTCACGACCTGGGGATCAGAGAACCCTAACATGATCTTGTACTTTTCGTGTGATCTGGTTCATAGTCTGGCTTGTCTCATCCATGATATGTTGCCCTCATTCCTACACTTGAGTCCTCCATTCTTCGTCATGTGTACAACGCAGACGTTCGCACCTAATAACGCTCATGCAAATGCTAGGAAGAAAAAATAGGGTACATCATGGGTTCACTTGCTCTTTAATGCTAATAAAAATGAAAACACCTAAGATTAGGAAGAAAATGACACCTTTTTGGGTATTACCAACCCCCCCCCCCCCCGGACACACGTAGGCATTTTCTTGTCTACAAGCATAAATGCGGCTAAATGTGCAACTTGAAAACCCCTAAACCTATCATCTCAATGTGTTTTAGGAGATGGGTCACTAGTGACTAGATACGCTCAGTTTGCCATGCCATTGTTTTGCTCATTGAGGAAACCCTGCCATAAAGTGACTAGAGGTGGCTCAAAACACTAGTCTCAATTTAGGTCATAAGAGTGATTGCTCTCTACGGTTCTATTCTGCAATTTCATCACAACCCTTATTCTCTTTTTTGGAGCTTCTTTGGGTTGTAGCCAAATATTCTTTGTTTTTGTAACGAATTCTTTTCGAGGTCCTCAACAAAGGGGGGCAATCCTACTTAACACACATAAGGATTTTGATTCGATAAAAAATATTGAAAAAGAATCATTACTCAAGATTCGAGATATTTAGTCAAATATCGATGTTAAGAATCAATAATCTTGTACCATCTATTTCAAGGTTCTCCAAAATATGCTTGGAACTAGGTTCTCCAAGGGTCTAAATTTTAGTATTCAAACCTTACTACTTAACCTACGAGTTTGTTTTCGATTGAACCTTAACAAACTAGCACAGGGCCTGGCCCGTTTACCGAAGAATTTGATGGTTACATAATTTGTATTTGTTGTTCACTCTAATTGTGTGATTTGCTCATTATTTGACCATGAACTATCTAAAAATTCAAACTACTCGAAGGAATGATTACAACATATTGGAAAATATGAGAAAGATAAAAATGACTAACAAAAAAATGTAACTATTAGTGACATACATATGACTAGCATATTAGAAATTGGTCGACAATACTTAACTGTACAAATGTAAGGGTTTAAATTGTTGTCTAAGTGACAATCATATCTTAAATATGACCAACAACAATGTAGTGATTCTCTTGTAACTGTTACCATTTCAGTAATCATAATTATTGAAAGAGTCAATTCAAATGCATATATGACATAACCGAAATAAGGTTACATTTAAGATAGGTACAATGACATAGATGTAGATTTTTTTAATTTCTTAACATTTTCAATGGAGATGAGTGAAATGAATTTACCTCTTCGGTTGGAGATACGTGTGGAAATTGTTTGACATCTTCATCGGAGTGTCCGTTAATGTTATTCATTGCTATAAACTTAAGATCCACATAAATGTTTGAGCCGATAATGGTATATAAGATAATGTATAACTAATATATATAAAAGATAAAATCTACCATATATGTATACATCGCATTACTGATTTACAGATAATTTTTTTAAAAAAATGGATAGTTCAAGTTATATTATATTTGATGCTGACGGTCAAGGAAAATGAAATTGTACATAGTTTAGGAATATTAAATACTACTCCTTAATATATTAGTATTTAGTAGTTGTGTAGTACAATATAATCCCCTTTCACTTTGACGTGCTTCAACAAACCTGAAGTACAATTCGTACATTTAATGGATTAAATTGATTATTTGAACATAATTTATTTTTAAAATAATTAATTTCATATACTTCGTGAATATTGATGTACGATCATTATTTTATATACAAATAAAAATATTCCGATATATTTTATTCGTAACTAACTCTTATTGTATTTTAGGAACTATGTGTTTTTTCTTTTTTGTATCAGTAAGTAAAAAGAATTAGTAATATTCTTATAAATTTTTTTTCTATATTCATATTGAAAAAAATATTAAACAATTAAGGGAGCAAATAAATTATGATTATAGGACAAATATGATAAAGCAATCGTGTAAAAAACACAAATAAATATGATAAGTGGTGTGGTTCCTGGAAGTTTAAATATTGTTACAAATGAGTCTTGAAATTGGAGATCCAAAACATAGCATGTTATCTAATAAAGTATGAAATGTAAGATATGCTTATTCGAGAAATTCTTTGAGTACTTTTTTTTTTTTAACAAAAGGTAATCATATATTAGATCAAACAGATAGTTACATCCTGGAGAGCAGCCAGGTCTGAAAATCAAAGTGGCGGTACATAGCCGGGTACAGAGAGAGGGCCTTACGAGCCACTAAATGGGCTACCCTATTAGCACGCCGACCTATAAACCGAACAAAAAACCCCTGCTGGCCAGATAAATAATGCAGCACTTCCTCCAAGATAGCCCCAATTTTGCCATCGCTAACATTCCTCAGCCGGATCTTCTCAATGACAACCTTGGCATCCCCCTCGAAACACACACTAGGAAGCCCCAAATCCATGCACCAGCGAATCGCAGCCCGTAACACCAGAAGTTCAACCACCAGAGGATCATCAATGACAGGAAAACAGATCCCAGCAGTCATGATAAGCTCTCGGGATGGAGTCATTAGAACCACTCCTCCAGCAGAATGCGAACCACTCCGAACCGCCCCATCCCAACCGCAAATCACCCCCGGCACCTCACCCTGATTCAACGGACGCACCTCCTCCGTGCACTGGGCCGCATTCGTCCTATCCATCGGGAGGCTTACCCATTCCTCATATTGCTGAGTAAACTGGCGCATCAACACCTCCACTGTAAATTGCTTCCCTTCAAACACTACCCAATTACGCGACCGCCAAATACGCCAGAGGACAGCTACTATGGCCATGAATACCGCAGGACTCTGGATGAGGTTCAAAACCTTCTTCAGAAACAGGGGAAAAGAGTGCCGTGGCAACCCTTCCCCGATATGCTCTAGCCCCGCCGCACCCCAAAGGGCTCTAGCGATCTGGCAATCCAAAAATAAGTGCTCCATAGTCTCCTCTTCCTCCCAACATATCGGGCAACGAGGATGAACCCCCACCTTTCTTTCCCGTAAGGCCTCAGCAGTAGGCAAGACACGACGGAAAATCTGCCAGAGA